TGTTTGCTGCTGAGTTTTCTCAGTAGTTTCACCTCTGTATTGCCATTTATACATGGTTTGACCACAAGATGTTGGTGACTAGCACTGTATACCCAGTTCCCCACCATAATTATTCCACAGAATGATCACCTTTGTGCCTCTGAGGTGGTGCTGGAGGGTTTTTACCTGTAAGAAGATCTTACAGGATTCCTATCATGGTTTGAATACTTTTCTCCATAATTCAAAGAAAAAAGGCAGGGTGAGAAGATGAAATCTCACTATCTACACTGTGAGTGACCAAGACATTACTGGGATGTTGCAGTACCTTCAAGTTGCTGCAGTACCTTCATGAAATCACTCTCTGAGTAAAGACCGCCTGGCTTAAATACTACCTAGTCAGGATAGCAAAATTATCTGAATGACCATGTCAGCCTTCCTGCTTATATGTGAAACAGATATTGCAGTTTTGCTGGACTGACCAATCAATAATTTAATTATTTAGTAACTAACTCTTACTTCCTATTTTGTATTCTTCCTTTTTTTTTTTTTTTTTTTTTTTTTTTTTTTTTTTTTTTTTTTTTTTTGTAATGATCTATTCAGGATAATTTATTAATTTAAGTTTTCCTAATCAGCTGAAGTTCAGATACCTAAAAATTAGCAAACTATTTGAAGTGCCTGGTTCACAGGGAAGTTTTGTGCCTCAATATGGTTTTAGGACCCAAATTTGAATTTTACTAATGTAGAACGCTTGACCAGTGTATTTATCATTTACTTTTTCTAGAGCACTCATGAAAGCTCTGCTAGAGGAAAAAAACAGTGACTTCACATTAAGTCGAATGCAACATTTCAGAAAATCTTATGACCCACACTCTGACCTAAAGAAAAATTGAACTTAGTTGGTTAGAGCTTTTAATCAGAATTTTGTTTTTCCTCCAGCCGAGTTTAGTCCTGTAACATACACAAAGCTGTGCTTACAGATTTTTTTTTCCTGAGATCACAGGATCTACAGCATATGCAACTACAGTTCTGCAAGTAGTATTTTTTCAAATCAGGGCAGGTTTGTTTGTTTGTTTTTTTAATTTGTCCTTTAATGAGAATACTATTTTTGAATGTTATTTTGAAGGAGCAGAGAGCAGGTGACTAAAACAGTTATTTAAAAAGCAATAATTACCACATGATAATATAAAAGTAGGAAAAACAATTCAAAGGCAATACCAAAGATGAACTTACCAGGGAACTCATAAATAAATAAAGCCACACCCACTTTAAAAATTCATCAGATGTTGAATTGCAACAATGACTTTTCCACAAAAACATTTACTGCATTTTAAGAAGACAAAAATACTCCAACCACCCCTAGGCCTAAATTAGCTAACAGAGGTATTCAGCTTGCATGAAGATATTAATAAAGAGCTCTGTGTGACACTTGGCTACTTACTTCTGGCAGCTGTGTCACTAAAGAGGTTGCATCACTTCCCTACTGCACACGTGTCCTTTTCAACCCCTGTGACCTAAGGATTTATACCTTGAAAACGGGATTAGTAAATACACAGGTCTGGTTGCTATTTATCATACCTAGATCATGCTAGCTACAATAAATGCATCAAAACATATAGTGCAATTAATTAATATAAAACTAAGTGTACAGTCTAGTTTCTGCAGGCAGCTTATAAATTTCCTATGAAGCATTTAAAATTTATCTGCTACAGCAACAGACTCCCCAAAAAATCTGTAATAACACTTGCCATACTTTGCTAGAGACAGTGGTTTAAACATGCTTTGCACCTACTAAGCATTTGTTTGGTCTTAGTGGGGTTTTATTATGTTTGAAAAAATATAAATGAAGCAACAAAAAAAACCAACCCAACCCCCCAAAACTTCAAATATTTTGGATTTTGTAGTTTTCTGGGTTACGTTAAATATTTGTTCAGGCATGTGAGAAGAGACAACCAGCCTTGGCTGAGTATCTCACTCAATATGTAAAAATTCATTCTGGGTGATGCAAGAACTCTACTGGCAAGAGATGACAGTGTTACATAAGAGTACAAAAATGATCATCAGAAATGTCAAATGCCTCACACCCCTGGCATTTTCTGTGTAAGGATCATTTAAGTTAAACAGTTGCAAAGAACCAAAGTAATTTCTGCATATGTCTCCTTGTAAATTTAGAGGGTGTTTATACTACTTGTTTAAATATAACCATCTGCCTATAAAATCACTATTTTAATGGAAAGCATCAACGTTTGGTGAAGGGGAAAGGAAGTTTTCACTTCTACTCTGACTTTACATCAAGTCACAGAAACTTGAGTGTTACAACCCAGCTGCTGCACATTCAGATGCCTCTATAAAGGCTTCTCATTGGGAACTACTGAAACACTTCTGCAGTTGGGGTTTGGCCGATGAGTTGTAACAAGTATTGCTGCAGTCATGTGATGTGTTATGGGCCTCGGCCCTCCAGGGCCTGAGTTTACCACCCTGTGGTAATGCGGCTTCTCTCTCACTACAAGGCAGTCTAATATTATACACTACAAATGCTAAAATTAATGGAGTTGTATTAATTAATCTCAACTTTTGTGACAGGGTATGTGATCTAACAATGTTTCCATACAAGCTGATCCTTAATCCTGTCGTTCCTCCTATTATATCTGATTCAGTAGTTTCTCAAAAGAGGGAGAATCACATTTCCTTCCAGAATCTGTTTTGTCTTATGCCTTTTTTTTTAAATTATTTAATCCACCAATTTGTATACGAGTTTTAATCCACCAAGAGTACTTGCTTGTGACTTGTGTTGATCACCAGCCTTCTCCAGCAGCAGCTCTGGACTGAGGTCAGTGGTACACTGGACTTTCAGTGCCTCTTCACCACACAACGTGGCACCTGTTTAATGGCCCATCTACTACAGGCTGCAGTGCCTTTCAGTGTACTCTGTACAGCTTAGGTGCACACAAGTACAGCTATTACACTCACCACAATAACAAAACACCTCAAATAAAAAAAAAGTCAACAAACTGATGGGCTTTCATAAAACAGACCCCCAAGTTACTCAAGCCATACGTGCAAATTAGACGCACTCATATTCAGCCAACTTCAATCAGCTTTCTTTGCTCTTTCACAGATGTGGTCAATGTATCTCTTCCTTTGGAGCTTCTCTCACTTCAGAGTTGTCCATGGGTTTCTAAGCTCACCTCTTTCTTCTCTTCAGATACGTATCGGGGAAGTTTCTCCTTCCCAGCATTCTCAAATTCCGAAGCTCACGTACAAAGCAAAAGTATCTTACATAGCCAGCTTGAGCCACGTGCCGTATTCTTGTAGAGATACAGTATGCCCAGACTACGCCTGTCTTCCCTCACATCCTGTAATAACTACAGAGAACAGACCTCAGGGACATCTCCCTGTAACCCTGGGGTGTGATCAACAAAATCAAGTGTCTCTACTGTAGCTGTCTTCTGTTTTCAAAAACTCCAGTGAAGGAAGGCAGGCTTTTCACCACACCTGAAGAAACCCTTCTCCACAGCTTAACAAGGTGTATTGTAAGAGACTTTTCCTAATGCTTAACTTGCCTTTTCAATTAATAACCAGCATCTACCATTCTTGTGGAGAAGAGTGTTCCTATTTTCTCTATAGCAACTTTTTCCATATTTAAAGACTGTTCACATCTCCCTTCAGTCTCCTCTTCTTTGGATTAAAGCATACTTTTGATCACTTTTTGAGTGCTTTTTTTGCCTTCCACACTTTATTCAGTTACACCCGTCTCTCTCAGGTGCCCCAATATGAACAGATACCTCAGGTAAGACCTTATCACATCTTGGTAATGTAGAAATACCACCCTGCTTCTCACAGGCCACATGTTGATGCATCCCTCTATCACAAACATCTTCTCTGCAGCAATGAGTTAACAATGCTCAGTTTGACTTATTCTGTGCCATCCCTGCCTCAAGATATAGCACACTAATACTCACTCCCTCTTCTGTGCAGCTGACTATTCCTAGTTAAGTGTAGTTCCTCATCTGCCTTACTTTTTCAATCAATTTCTCCTATTTTCCATGATCAGTTTTAATTCAAATCTTCCCAGACAGTCTGCTGCTGCCCTGTGAGCTTGGCTTTTGTTACCTAGATAAATCAAATATTTAATTATTACCTCCACATACCCCCATGAAGCATATTTTCTTACATTTTTTCCTCCTACCCTCCTTATTAAAGCCAGTTCCAGTTTGGAGACCTGCCACATACAGTTCGGGATTTCTAAGGACACATTCCAATACCCTAATGAGCTTTAAAACACCTCCTGCTATTTAAGAAATAGTTATAAAAGCACGTGGTACAAACAGATGTCCTTAGCTAAAATTATTCCCTTTCAAATCTAGCTTTAAATTCCTTTGTGGAAGACTCAAATCTCAAGTTTTCCATGCACAAAACCCTACAAAACTAGTCAGAAATGACTTGAAAAATTTTTTTCTGGAAGCAGAGATGCCATCACAGTTATTTTGCGACAGAGTCCTCCTTCCTACTCCTTGAGGCTTTTGTCACATTTTCTAATCAATGAAGCTCTGTGGCTTAATAATAATAATAATCTAGATTTTTCTCTGAGACCTCCAGTAGCAGTTAAGGCATCTGGCTTTACAAAAGGAAACATAAGTATTACTAATACAAGTTTGGTATTTTTTTAACACTTCTAAACTATTCCAAGCTTCATATATGTTCTATGAAGTATATGTAATGTTGCTATAGAGATTTAACTAGCACTTCTTCAGGATGTTCTGAAACTTGTTCCTGGCTTGGCCTTTGAAGTGACTGCAACCTTTTCCAACTTGTGCTGATACACCAAGGTTTTCATGATGTATTCCATGCTATGTTATCTGTACAGGCTTGCTACAGAAGAAACCTGTGATTCCTGATAAATCTAAATCACATGTAGCTCTGTAAACATCTCCCATAAAATGTTGTGTGGACATGATTTGAGCTGGTTATAAGACAAAAGCACAAATAGTTCAGTTATGTATTTTCAAGCAGTATGTGGCATGTCAGTTTGGAAAGAATTCATGTTTAATTGCATCCGGAAGATTACAGTAGAAAAGTGTTGGGGGGTGAGGGGTAAGGAGCCTTTCCTTTTCATTCTACCATGGAAAGAGAAACAATTTCGTCATTCAGCAATAAAAATAAAAAGTAATCCTTAGCAAGTTTTTGTATTACTGTTTCCAAACTGTTCACTGAAACCAAAACAAAGGGCCAAAGTATGCTTGCCTTGCTCAAGAGAATAATCCCACTGAAATCAACAAGACTGACTATTCAGATATGGACAGCACAGTTTGGCCCCAGATAAACATCCCCATAACTAGGGAAAACACTAATCACCAAAGTGCACTTTACACCATAGTAGCTACAGTTTCTTTATACATGCACAGTTTGTGCGACACTTTGTACATGGAACTAGCCAATGGAATATAAATAAGTTGTGCCGCTTCCTTTTAAATATGAACATTAACAATGAAGCACATTCACATTTTTGCCTTTCAAAGATCTTTTCAAAAAAAATAAAAACACCCTTCCCAAAGTAACCTGGAACATGTTGTTAAATATAGCACATATGATTCAAAGGATGGTATTCAGGTAGAACTTTCACACACAAAACTGATATTTGTTGTATAATTGGAGTGACTTATGAAAATCCCAAGAAAATACAACCCTCTCACCAGGAGAGGAAGGTAACAGTTGTAGTGTTAATTTAGTTTCTTCTGCAAGGGCTTCTTTCGATCTCCACTATTGTCAGGGCTGAAGTCAGTACAGATACCATTAGGTGCAGAAAGAGATGAAGTCTCCAAGCCGCTCTCAGCTCCCATATGATCAGCATAGAGATAGTCTTCTGCAAAGTGTGGGTGCAACACAGCAAATGTGTAGAAGTCATCTAAAAAAAAAATTGTTGTTGCACAGAATCAGCTCTTTGAAACAGAAGGGTGCTAAATTTGAATACTTACACATATATAATCACATGATTTCTTTGGAGAAAAATAGCAGCAGTTAACATAATGCTATCCCCAGTGCTTGTTTTAGCTTCTCAGCATAAGTTTACCATATTCACAGAGCTGAGATGCTGCAAAGAGTTATCTAAGCCCTCTGAAAACACTTCAGGCCAGAGATTAGCTGTATGAAGGGTAAACAGGCTCAGATTTGCATTAAAATGCATGATGAGCACCACATGCCCTGACATAGCATTTCACTATTCACTGGGGAAGTACAGAAGCCCTCCAGCTGAAGATCACTGAACATCAAGTGTAGTCATTTCTTAAATTCTTAAAACTCTGGCAAACATGCCCTTTAATGCTTTGCACTCATAGTTTGCTTCAACCTAACAGCGGCTGTCATTGCTGCCTTCCGCTTTCAAGATTTCAGTATTTTAAAAGTCCCAATATTTTAGAGAATAATATTGAGGAAATAATTTATAACTCAGGAAAAAAATCCTGATTTTAATAAGATGATAAGAAAAACCAGATTAGTTCTTGGGGGAGTGGGGAATCCTTAGCATCAAGAAGTAACATTTTGTGTTGAAAATCAGACACTGAAACTTTGTCTCAATTTGTCCATATGACTTTTTTCAGACAGGATTTGAACACAAGATACCGTACAGGATCCAAGCAACAAGAAGCTATTCTTATAATGTAAACTGACACTAGAAAAATCTGGGTGTGACTGTTTTCACTGATTCAGTCACCTACAGTGTATCACACACCTCCCACTCAAATTCACTGTGCTATCCCAGAACTCATGATAGGATGATGATGTGAATTCCCTGAAGTGCAGAGCAGATGACACCTGAAGAAGCCTTTCAAAGGAGTGAAGCCCAGTTCCTCCTACAACTAGGCTGGTATGGAAGAAGGGAAACACTGCAGCTTTCCACTCTTTGCCACTCTGAGGTGACATGATTTTTCAGTACTGCAAAGGGCAAGAAAGAAAGGGAATGCCATATGGCTCACAGGAGTACTGAAATTGTAGGGCAACCCTGCCTCCGAACTATTGCAAAAGGATAGACAAGGAGAAGGCAATAAACGTAACTTTATCCTTCCCCTCACAAAGAAGTGGATACCCTTTATCCACAGTTTATATGGATCTAGAGCATTCTGCACCTGTAACTTCAACAAAAGTTGATGAAGCTTAGGTCATGAAAACCAACATTACCATCTATGTTGAAAAACTGTACCACAGGCTGATGGATCATATAAATGATCAAGTTTTCAGGAGGAAAGGGGAATCCAAACTCAACAGAGTAACATTTTGGATAGATCTCAGTAAGCTGACATTTTGGGTCCTGCTGAAATAAGTCCTGAAAGTATTAAGGAATATTTATTGAAGTTGTGCTCAGCAGAGTACAACTAAAAGTGTTTGGAATCCCATTTGCCTTGTACATCAGAAACGTGAAGAAAGGTGATGTAGAAAGAACCAACTATGCCAGCATTACTTCTAATTACAGGTCTCATCTTGGAGCTCAAACTGAAAGCAACTGTTAAGCATTAGACTGAAGGAAAATATCAGCTCAGTCATTAACCTGGGGAAAAAGGTGATTTTGCTTCCCACCTCTACTAAAAACAAAGATACATAAAGGAAGAAAGAACTCAAAGCAGAGTTAAGACTCATGTGTGTATCTTTGCATTAAGTATGCATATGTACTACAAGAACTTCAAGAACTTTTTCTCCTACCCTTGAAACACCCTCCTACTACTTGATGCTCCTCCTGGAAGCTCTATGTTCATTAATCTTCTCTAGCTTTTGTTTCCACTAAGCTAAATAATAGGATAATCCTGTGGTTAATATATAATTATTTTAAGAAAATAATTCTTCCTTCCCTGATTCTTCATCTATACAGATAGTCCAAATACGGCCAATTCCCCCTTTTTTTCTGGCTACAGCAAGCCAGAAACTAGTCTTCAGAACATTTTCACAATCTGAATTGTCTATCAAGAGCTAGTGGAGAGTTTCCTAGAATTTGACATGCCCTCCTAGAAATTAGAGAACCTAACCAAACCCTCCAGAATCACATTTTAAGTCTAATAAATTTTGCCTCTGTCTATATTAGACTGAAAGGATAAGCTTTGCAATCAAAGTGCATCTGAACAACTAAGCCAACTGCACACTGCTTATAAGAACCGATATATAAGATCTCCAGTGTGCTTTCAACCATGCAACAAAAATCCAGATTTCCAGCTCTTCAGATTGGTAATTGTCAATCTAGTTACACAATCTTGATTTTGTTCTTGGCTATTCTGTTTACCTGCAACCTGAGCTTTTCCTCTGGCATGAGATCTGTGGCTTCAATTAGGTTGATACTTTAGGTATTTTATCTTTCGTTCTTATAAGTAAGACTCAATATTCCTGCTTTAAATTCCAACACCCTAGAAAGGAGATTGTCAGTAGACCTCAGCTGTGCATATCCAAAATAATGTTATTTCCACCAGATACAATGTTTTGATTTCTGTTCAGAAAAAGCAGAATTTTTCAGAACCATGTATCTTCAGAACCATGTGGTCTGCAAGTTTATTCACCTCTCCTTTCTAGTAAGTAAGTGCAACAAAATGAGCATGTATGAAGTTCCACATATTCTCAGGAAAGGCGAGAGGTTGAATATTGATGGCAGCAACTTTCAAGACAGAAATGCAATACCAAAAGTTTATTAGCAACTTTAATTCCCTAATCTAATAACTTGGACATTTACTCCAACTATTAAACTTTCAGATATGTTAAAAGGACATGTTTCTACTATAAAATGAGCACTTCTCTCAGAAAAAGCACTAAGGAAAGTTTCAAAGAAATTATGTAAACACCGTCTTACTAGCTACTTTGTGTTGCATCACAAAAGACTATTCTTGACTACAGGATATAAAATAGTGAAAATGAGAGCCAAGCACTCCAGCAGCCATTGCTGTGATTTGGTCGTCCAGATTTTCTTGTGATGGGAACATACAATGACCACTTAGGGGAAAAGTGCAGATTAAACACAACTATTAAAGATGAATATTAAAAAATGAATTCTTTGGTAACTCACATGACCTGGTCTGAGTTCACTTGCACATGACTACAAATTTAGCTATTCTCAAACAATGAAATGTGCCAAAATTAAAATTCTGCTATGCTTACACCAGTTTAAGATTTGTGCTGGTATTTTTGAAGCTGGTGATTGGGAGGTGGAGGGAAGAGCTGAGTCACTGCACATTATGAGTTAGAAGATGAGAAGCAACATAACAGTGATAAGTAGGAAAAAGGCAATGGGCAGGATGGATGTGGAAATGCTGGGGATGTGACAGATAAGAGGCACAGAAAGGAAAGGGGTAATACAACAGGAAGGAAGCAAGGAGACAAGACAGTAACCAGGAAAAAAGGAAAGGACAGTGACAATGATACTGATTTCAGTAACTCTAAAATATTAATGTATTTGAAGCTTTACATACGTAATGTATGATTGAAACAGAGGAATTACTAGTGTAGAAACTATGATTTACTATCACTGATGTATTATTTTGTAAAATTTTTACAAATTAAATACATGCTGATTATCCTGAGGGAAAACAATTAGAACAGGGTATATCATAAGCACCTCTACTGGAGATACTTAATATATTGGCTATTAACAACTCAGTTCATACTCAAATGATGCAACTAAATTTAGACCCTTACTGCATAAAGCATAAAAATTCTGAAATAACATGTAAGTACTCTGACTCCCAGCACAATCTATTCACCCAGGTCTCAATTTTTCAAATGCAACTTTCTCGCCTCCATTCCACCTACATTACAGACTATAGAATAGGAAGCCTGGTTAACCCCCTCATTTCCTACTCCCAGACACAAGAGACAAAACAACAAGAGAGAGCTAAGGCAGCTTTCTTTAAAAATACACATTTGCATACATGAAAGTCACGGAACAGAATATGTTGAAGGAGCTAATCCTTATATTATGTGATTTGATGTGGAAGGGAAAACTGAAAACATGCAAACGTGGCATTTGATACCAGAGGTGAAACTTGTTTTTCCAAATGAAAATTGACTTTGTTTGCTGTGCTGTTATCAGTATTGAAGTCACCAAGCCAACTAAAAAAGGTAGAGTTTAATAAAAATGTAACTGCTTTGTCAACATGAGTGCAGGCAATTTTGACATTTTGTGACAGTTAAGATGCGTTAGAAAACTTACCATATGTAATCTTTCCTTTTTCTTCTTCATCTACAGCTCTAAAAAGATGTGTAACATCAATTTGTGACACGCCCATGGCAGTCTTGAGAATACAAGCTAAATCCTCTTCTGTTACAGTTCCGCCTCCTGACTGGTACAGCTATGAATCAAGACAGCAAGATAAATCATTGCAAAGCTGAATGCCAACTCCTATGAACAGCACTACAGTGAAATAAAGCAAAATAAAAATTTGGTATCAGAAATTCTAGTCACTCTCAGACTGATGAGATATATTAAGGATTTCAGATTAGTCTGGGTAAAAAATATCATCATCAGTTCACCTGTGTATGCTTAGAAAGGAAAGCTTGCCATAATCAGAAAAAAGTCCTGCGTTTACATGCCTAATCACTGGAATTACCATGATGTTCAGTGACAAGCCTGTCAAACACTAACATGTTTTGCAAACATATAGCTGGGAATAATATTCAGTCCATTAGGCTACATGTCTAAACTCCAAGACAATCTATAATATCGGGACATATATTTAGGTTAGCCTAAATCAGATACCATTTCCAATTGGTCAGGTGTAAACCTCAAGATTCCTTTGACCAAAATCCAAAAGCCAGCTTGCAAAAAATTTCTGTATCTAAATGGTATTAATCAGGAGAATCCTACTTCATACACCAGTGATGGGCACATAATTTTCTACAAGTATTTATTCTAGAAAACAATCATATGCATAATCTTACATTCTAAAGAGTTACCTCACAGAGTTAGCTTTACTACTGACAGATTGATAACTAAGAATTGCTCACAAACTCATTCCATCTTTGCATATGTACAGTGTTTTAGCCTGAGAAATGAACCTGAATACTTCAAATCATCTGCACCAAATTATTTTTTCTTCATTAAGCTTTCTTAAAATAACTCAATTTGCCTGTACAATGTAAAGTGAAAGATAAGAGTTTTTGAAACATTTATGTCTCCTTTTCAAGCATGATAGCATTGAAAATATCAAACCATGTAAAAAGTGCTGTTTTGGAAACTTCCTTTTAATTTCTCTACATCATTGGGAAGGTGGGAACTGATGAGATTGAACAAAACAGGCGTAAGCATGTATTTTTCACACAAAAGCTGTTGCCACGAGACAGCACACCTTAGGGGAATAATACCGAAGTTCCATGGAAGAAAACATATGCTCAAACCAGGAATCTCACCTTTTGCACCCTGGCACCTAACCTGCACACTCTTTCACAGGAATAGGGAAAAGAACAAGACATTTCTTTAATAAAACCTGCTACATTTTCACAGAACAAGTAGATAATATTGGGTGGTCAGTATAAACACCATATTGACAAGATTTATAACAGCCTTTAGTTTCTTTAGCAGCTTGGAAGAAGTAGTACTTAGAGTGCTGCTCTTAGTCCAAATGCCCTGCCAAGGCAGGGTCACCTAGATAGCCTAGGTATCCAGAGGCAGGATAGGAGTGCATCCAGGTGTGTTTGGAATGTGTCCAGAAAGGGAAACTCCACAACCTCCCTTGGAAGCCTTCTCTGGCACCCTCAACATAAATAAATTCTTCTTCATCTTGAGGTGGAACATCTTGTAATTTAGTTTATGGCCATTGCTCCTCATTCTGTTATTGGGCACCACTGAAAAGAGTCTGGCACCATTGTCCTGACACCCACCTTTGAAGTACATACATGCATGAATGAGATCCCCTATCAGTCTTTTGTGCAGACTAAGCATCCCCAGCTCCCCCAGTCTCACCTCTTTATAGAGATGCTCCAGATCCCTCATCATCTTTGTGACCTTCACTGGACCCTCTCTATTCCCCCCTTGTCTTGTGCTGAGGAGCCCAGAACTGGACACAGCACTCCAGATGTGGCCTCACCAGGGCCGAGCAGAGGAGCAGGATCACCTCCCTTGACCTGCTGGCCACACTCTTCCCAATGCACCCCAGGATCCCACTGGCCCTCCTGGCCACCAGGGCACTGCTGGCTCATTGTCAACTTGCCATGCAGCAAGACTCCCAGGTCCAGGTCCTGTTCTGCAGAGCTGCTCCAGTAGGAGCCTGTGCTGGGACTGGGGTTTTTCCTCCCCAGGTGCAGGGCCCTGCACTGGCCCTCATCGAGGTTTTCTCTGGCCAACTCTCCACAGCCTATAGAGGTCCCACTGAACGACAGCACAACCTTCACATCTATTTCCCATTCCTCCTAGTTTTGTATCAACTCCATATAATGATACTATTTTTCAAGTTCCTCAGTCATATACTAAACACTTTAACTTTGAAAACTTGTAGCTATATTAAATGTTGCACTTTTCCTGAAAGACCTAGCACACAGCAGAGGACAGCACTTGTTCAAAGTCATACACTCATGAACTAGCTAGGTCCTTCAATGGCTCCAGGTAAGCTGTGTGAATATCTCATCGTATGTGAAGTCAGGACAGGAGGTAGAAAAGAATTAAAAAAGGTTCTCTTTGCTTTTTTTAAATCCTAGAATAAGCAAAATTTCCTCAGCTTGAGACTTCTCTTAACCCATTCACCATCACCAGCAGGATAAAATAAGCCGTACCTGCTTCCCCTTGCTGAGTACTTCCCCTTCTTAATAAATACATAAAGCTTCTTCGCAGTTTTACATCTAACTTTGTACTGTGTAGTTAACAAAGCGACTCCAAATTACATATTTTAGAGAGTGAAGCAGATAATGAAGAACAGCAGTTTTTCTAAGAAACAGTTTAATTAACTTCAAGTGCTTCCAGAAAGAAAATAACCATCCAATCTGAGCTTTTCATCCTCTTAAATTATATACTTATATTGCACATTATAAAACATGACAGTTAAATTAAACAAAAAATATCTCCCCAAACCCCCTCTACATTTACTTCAAATTTGTTCATTTTAGAATGAAGACACAGAACTGACCAAACAGTACCTGACTATTTTTCTATGCCATTTTATAGCTGAAATGGACTGAGTTAGGCCAGAGACCTTTCTTTCTGCTTTTCTCTCAGAGGCAGCAATAAATGCATCTACTAATGAGAGATTTCCCACAATATTTGTAGGAACCAAATATTTTTGCTCCTTCCTTGTTTGACAAATTTATTGGATTCTGCCCAAAAGGTAAGAACGATACATGTGAACACTAAGCATTCAAAGGAGTCTCATTTCTTCAGCAAAACGTAGTTAAAGTCGTCATGCTGAAGAACCTGAATACAACTACATAGAAAGTAAGGCTGCAGTGTAGCACCATGCAACTGAATGCTCTGAGCACAATGCATTCTCTAGAGAAGACAGCATCAAGACTTAGCACTTCTCAGTTTCAGTAACACTGAAGACTATGTGAATTCAAGGCAAAGGGAAAAGATGATGCAGGATGCAGCAGAGTTCGTATGTTGAAACAGTAAAATTAAAGAAATTAATTTAAAAGTAATTAATCAGAAACCCATTGGTTAAGCATTGCTGCTGTCACTTTTCCAAGAAGCTCGCTTTAACAATCTATGGTGATGCTACAACAAACCACTGAGGCTAGAGCAAGATCAGGAGCACTTCTGGGAACCATCAAGTCTGGGCAAAGACTGCAGGACCACCACACATACATGGTAGGACTAAGGGAAGAAAATTTTAACAAGAAAAAAGGAGATAAAAATAATCTCTATTAACACGTAGGAATTATTAAAAAAATACTTTAACAACTTGAAAAATTAGATTTGTTGAAACATTCTAAGAGCAGCAAGTACAATTCAGCAGACTGTTTAGAGGAATCAATACAAAGGACTTGAGCTTTCAGACTTAATTTGCTAAAAAGGATTCTACCAGAGTTCTACAAAAAACTTAAAGCAGCAAGCTTTCATAATTTTACACAACTTACACTTGCAATGTATTCCCTATTAACACAAACTCTTAATCTAACTTTCCGTTAATATTATTTTAAAATGTAATTAAGTATTAAAAGGAAATGTGGAAACTTCTATTGAGTCTAATGCCAGTATTAATAGTTTCTAAAAATAAGCAAACTATATAGAACAAGAAAATGCAGCTTACCTGAAATGCCAACTGAATTGTTTCCAGAGTTTTGGATGGCTTACAGACAACTGACAGAGCAATGACAAATTCCCGAATGTCAATTACACCATCTTCATTCTGTGAAGGAAAACCTCCCCTCAAAATAGTGCAGTGTCTGAGAATTTTCATAAATAACTAAGTTGCTAAAAATGCAGAATACTCAGAAAGATTGTTACATGTGCTGTGACAAAAAAACAGTCTCACTGAAATGAAATCACACAAGGACAAGAACCTGGGTGAAAGCTCTGCAGATTCTTTTCATAGCCTCAGTCAAAAGTCACAGTTTAAATATTCTTGGAAGACAGTGCTGCTACTGTCACCCTTCACTCGCATATTTAAGATTTTTCCATTGAACCATCTGAATCACTGGGCTGAAATTAAAACCAGAGAATCAGAGGACAATGCACCCTAATTTAAGCACTGAATACATGACATCTGCTCCAAGAGAGAACACTGTGGACATATCCACTTCCTGGTCCAGACAGCACCTCATCCAAAGATAATAATCGTCATTTCCCCATTCTGACTGATTGCCAGAGGAATGAAAAACTGGCTCATTCACCAAGATCCTTCAGGTTTCAGGCCCATAGAAGAACAGATCATTTATTTACAAAGTAAATGAAATATCAGCTAACAGACACTGCATTCAGCTCCAATGAGCAGCAGCAGAAGTCTAGCCTGACCCTACCCTTCCTCCTCTTTTTTACATCTAGAAAAAATACAGTTTTTGTCCAGGTGATATACCTTTTAAGTTCTACCTGAAGGAATGCTTTATTTAGCTGGTGATAGGTGCCCTTACCTTGCTGAAAGGGAAGTGCTGTAAGAAATTTTATGGTGAAGTACTCAGAAATCAAACCTCAGTGAATTCAATTTACACAGGAGTAGGTCAAAGTGAAGTTTACCAAAGGTAGTAAAATTTTTAAACTTAACGTTGTTTCTTACCTCATCAAAAAGTGAAAACATACTTTCTAATGTCTGAGAAACTGGAAATTCCAAGTAGGCTGAAAATTCTTTGAGATCAACCTTTTCTTTCTTCATTTTCATGGCACTTGCAGCATATTTATTGAGATCATCTTCAAGTGTTTCTGGCTTCAGCCTATAAAGCATATTATTTTTGCACATTTTAAAAATCAACCTAGCTTTAACAATACATATTTCAAAATATCAAATGAAAAAATGGATAACAGTGTAAAACATTACAAAGTCTGGATTAAGAATTATTACACAACTTTATTATAAAAGAATGTATTTCTGTAATTTTAAATCTCCCATTAGTTCTCAATTTTTATTAGGAATTACTACAAGGGCTTAAGAAACGTGGACAAACTCATGTCCTTCAGTCTACCTTGATTACAAGCCATATGTGTAATTAGTTCAACAGGAAGAAACACAGTCTAGAACTAGCTAATAAATTCCAAGCATGGAGAACTAGGTGGAAGTTAGGTCACCTGAATATGGCTGTATTGTAGGACAGTAACATAAACCAATTATGTTTCCAAATTTACTAATGTCACTGAACAGGAAGGACATGATGCATCTTACCTAAAAAAAAATTCAGGGATTACGTAAGAGTGATTATACTGTTAATCCTGTTTATCGGTCCTCATTTTTCACATTCAGTCTTGAGTTGGACACCATTATGAGGTAACCTAAACAAAATTCTTGCAGTTCCTACAGTGACAGAATTTCCTCAGTCCTTCCCCATTGCAAAACCAGACTTTGACTGATGAATGAACAGCTTTATACTTAGGTAGATATCTACTGCATGGTTGTTGGTTAGTTGTTTGCCTAAGTCAAGCTTCCTGTTTTGCCTTTGCTAAAAAAAAAAACCCCAAATAACAAAAACAAAAAAAAACCCCCAAACAAACAAAAAACCCATACAACCCATAAAGACCAAACAAAGCCTTATTGAATAATCTTACTAGGGATAAAATAAAGGGTACTGGAGGTATGATGAAAAGACAAGCAGCTTTCCCTCCTAATACAACATCAAGCAGATCTAGATCACGTCTACTCTGAACTGATTTGGGGTAACTTGGGCATCTTTCCACTCAGAAGACAAAAGATACCAGTAAAGTCTCCTACAATGTCCTCCTGCAGTTCCCTGCTTTGCTGCTTGCTGCTGCAGGCAAGGAAGAGTAGTAATTCACACAACTCAAAAGCTAACACCAGAACTGTTCTCGGACTGCAGCTGGGACTCCTCAGCAGCTTCCTCTCAGTAACAAAAATGAATAAAATGCTTAATAACAGCATTCTGAGTAGCTTCTGAAAAAAGATAAGAGCATTTCTGATAGGAAGATGATCTGATACATCAGCTCCAGAACTTGATTGCTTGCTGTAGTGACCCTTCCTAAACATCACAACTCTTAAGTAAAAATTCAACTCCCATGTTGTCTGTTGTGACCTATACTGGCTTACCGATATGTACGAACTAAACCATGCCACAACCTGTTCTTTCTGGAAGACCTGAACATGTAAGAATTCTTCCAGAAACCCATGGCTCCTATAGAACATTCACAAGTTCTTCATTCTAGCATTAAAGCATCTGAAGATTTAGTCCTAGACAGTGTAAGAGTGAGACAGCCTACTGCAAACATTCATTTTTCTTGATCAAGTAGAAAAGTAGAAGGAACAATAACAAAAAAATCCATAGAGGATTTGAGATATACCCAGAACTCATCTTCTCACATGCAGGATTACATGCAAGAAGTGTCCACTGATAATACATCCCAGACTAGAGGCTGAAATGGATTTTAACTGTAGCACAAGGACAGCTGGCATCTAAATCCTCCCTTGAGATAAGCCCCCACTGACGCAGAATATGTAGTGTAACATTTGTCTCTAAATCAGAGAGATTTTCTTTGCAATTAATTGTCTTCTAGAACTGATGGAGCACTCATTTGGCGAGTAACACTCAAGACTTGCAAGATCTCTGCTTCACCATTAAATAAGCCTGAAAAGCTATAGAAGCTTGAAGGCAAAATCTTGTACGGGAAGTAACACAGCTCACCACAGATCTTACAGGCATCTTGTGGTTTATATTTTGTAAATACAGAAAGAGATGTGAGGCAATCTCAAAAGCAGTATGTGGATCAGTGAGGCAAACTGTTTCAACTTCAGTATGACTGCATTGTACTTCTGGTAATGCAAGGTGGGTTCACTTCCCTCTAGCCCTTCAAAACCAGAAAATAATTAATATGTTGATGACCATAAGCTGCTAAACTGAAGTCTTCAGAAGCCACGTGCAAATCTCATAATGGATTCTGAACCAATATGAAAAGGTTTGAATGTCCCAATTCCTTTACAATAGTTACTTTTATCCCAATGGAGGCCAAAAATTATAGAAAGCCAACAGCAAATGCCTTCCCTCATGAAACCATGCTTGTTGGCTTAATAGTTGCCATGCAAGATCTAGGCTTTATGATATATAAAATTATTTTCTGTTGTGGTGTTTTGCTTCATTTTTCAGGTCAGTGCACACTAAAAAGAACAAGAAGTATTCCTGAATCCATGAAGATGGAAAGGACATTTTTCAAGATTAACAGCTCTGGACATTGAATTCTTCACAGCAGACTTCACAAGGAAAACCAGATCCCTGAAGGTAGAATATTTTACAGCATAATTATCACTATTTTTAGCAAGTAAGCTAGTTTTAGCTGTATTTGACTATTTGAAAACAAGCTCATTTCTTGCATGCTGGGAATCTGCCAATAACCTTCTAGTGTCTCAGAGAGCTGGAAGAACAGCTGGATCTTGTAGCTAGCTACTGTAAACTGCAAGCACAGAGAAATACGCCCTAAGCCAGAAAAGCACAATACATTCACTTTAATGTCTGCTGACATACTTCTGTGCAACTTCTTGCCATCATAGAGCAAGTATAGTGCAAAAAACTGCAAAACAGACCTTCTTGAATACTCTTGGCATACCCTGCCTTGATCCACAAAAGCAGGGGCTACCATGGTTGGTATTTGCTGTCATGCCTGATCCATGATCACCTCCTGTAGTAGAGAGCATTGCTTTTATCACAAATTCAGATGGTAAACATCCTCCAGAGCATTTCCCCTTGTTGTAGATGACCTCTGAGCACTCTGAAGTCACAGCACAGGTAATTAGCTGTGAGGGTTATCACTCTGGGGATACAAAGTTCTGCCTTACAGTCTGGACTACCATTTCAGGCACACATGGAAAGCAGAAGTCTGCATTGTTGTCTGGATGGTAGAGGCTGTTGAGCAAGAATAGACAGGCAACAGGCCTGAGGTCCTTGCAGATCTTGGTAGCCTACAGCTGATTTGACTAAAAGGATACTCATGGTCAACTTGATGATGTAATATTGGGAATTAGAACAAACAGAAGCTTGAAACAATAGGAACAAATCAATTCAAATCAGAACTCAAGGATCTCCTTGCAGGCAACTACCCTAAAGCAGCTCATAAGAAGTACCTCATAAAAAGACAGAGACTAGACTTAGCTGTACTAACACTTCCTGAAGAAGATATCCAAAGAGGTCTTTAGTAAGGCACAAAATCCAAACAAAATTCAATGGCCAGAACATAGCAATAGATCCAGTTCAAGTAAAACTAGAGATTCACTTTAAACAGTGGGGTAATTAATTATAGATTAATTAAATGAAGCAGAGGATTTACATTGTATGAAAAAAGATATGAAAGCTATAACATAGACTGCACATAGTTTAGCAATTAGCTCGTTGGTCACATAAATTATCAGACTGAAGAGAAACATGACTCCTTGAGGAGTAATGAAGGCACAATTTGAGAAGATAAGTCTATGATCAATTGATCTCATTGATAAAGCAGTCATTTTATCACAGAGTTTGGTACAAGCCAGCTGTACAGCTCTGTTAACAGAGCCCAAGCACATCCTTAGATGAAGCATGAGAACTCAGTGCTGTGCCTGCATGGATTCTGGACTGGATCCCATCCAGCTGAACACAGGCTAACTGAATTTTACAGACAATGATAATGAATCCTGTAGACACAATGTGCGCAGAAGTAACTCTTCAGTACAGCAAACTGAGGTGTAAAATTGATTTCAAAAAATCTAAACCAAAAAGAACTCTGAATTTACCTTACTATAGGAATCTTAAACCTGGGCATTACCTCGAAAGTACGTCATTGCTCAAAAACAAGTATTAAGACTGAATGAAAAATCCATTGGATAAAATTTACTGTTCTAGTTATTTAGGGATGCTAGTGGATGATCTTAATGCCTCCCTGGCCTCAAAACCTTTGAATAAACAGCAAAATGACTACATTATTATCAAGTATGCATTAGAGATGAAGTCATATTACAGTCTTCATCCAATTGTGCCAGAAAAATACCGTCATAATATCCTTCTTATTGGCACATGCCCAGATTCAGAGAGGATTATATTTCACCAGTGATTAATTGCTCATACCAGAAAGAGAACTTCTGGGCTGCAGTGAACCTCACTCACAAATGCATGTAACAGTTTCAGAGGCCAAAACAAAACCCTAGAAAAGCATAATTTGAAAGAACAGCTTTAAATTGAGCAGACAGAAGCCAGACAACTTAACAAGAGGATTAAACTGAATCCTGGGATTATGAACTGCATAATAAGAGACGTGGGTGGTTGGTTTGTTTTGTTTTGCTTGTTTTTCTTCCCTAGTAGTGTAAATGCAAAGCCTTTTAAACAAAGTAAGACTCTTCCCTTAGAAGTCTCTCCTATCCTAATGGAAGTTTTTCAGATGGAAGTCCTGACAATTGATTAATACATGCTTGTCTTCTGAATTCATGATGTGTGCTGTCCTACATTCTTTATTCTCCAAGAGAGCTTTTTCTTCTTTATTTTCATTTATGTACAGAAGCTGAAGGAAAAATTAGTGAAAGGAAATAAAATACACAATGGAAACATTAAACTACACTCTGTACTTTCAGGCGATGAGACAAGAAAATGAAAAAGGGTGTTTGCATATTGAGAGTTAATAGGATGAGGCTGTACATTTAATTCATGGTTGCTCAATAAGATCACTGAAGAAGCAGGAGAAAAATTTGAAAACAGCAGCACAGTCTACTATTTGGTTTATGTAAAATTTTCAGGTTTGCTGAGGTTTTTTTGAAAGGTAAAGCCAGCAGGAAATGGCACTATGGGAAGAAAGAAGAGAGGACCCACGCCACATGCACTGACCTACAGCTGCATTAGAAAGTCCATCTGGCAGTGACCTGCTCAAAAGATCAACCACCACCTTCTCAGCGAAGGGTGACCCCTCTGTCCTCACTATTACAAGGTTAATCCAGTCACAAGATTGCTATTGTCAGCCCTTGTTTTCCCTCCACAGATGTCTCCATAGGAAATGGCAACTGACTCTTTAACTGTATCAAATATTGGGAATCCCACAGTACTCCTGATCCTCTTCATAAAGTGTCTTCTAGCTCAGGAATGAATGCTTCAGACTCACTCTGCTCTCTTGTCAGATGGAAAATAAGAACTTTACAACCTCCTCTAGTCATTGGGATTCAGGGGTGCTGCTTGAAAGTTAAGTACAGTATTGTTTCAATTTTATACTGGTGTTTCCCTGATTGTGTGATGACAACATTCCATATATATTTATAAATGCAATATTGTTACATGATAGGAAAACTATATAAACATAGATATACAATAAATATGCACCTTACATATAAATATTGTATATGCTCACCCAAGGCTCCTCACAAGCTTTGCAAATTCTAAAAGACACGTATCTGAAGGTAGACGAAGCTGTCCTTCAGCCAAAGCCAGCTGACAGTCTTCAAATGTGTAGTCTGTCACTGAAACTCCCAACGCCCTCAAATAAACCAAAGAAACACTGTAAACAAGACACTCCAAGAAAACTGACCAGAATAATCACTTTTTTCACAGCAAAAAATCCTATAACAGCTATGCTCTCCATTCTGAAAAAATATAAGGACAAGCTCATAAAAGTAAGTTTACACAGAGAGAATGAAATATGGTACACGATCCATTGCAGAGCATCTGTTTTGACTGAGTCAAAATATGCAAGAACACAAGGCAAAAATTAGGCAGTGTAAAGACTTTCATAGATGTATTTCATATAAGTAAATAATTAGGGTTTCAAGATTTTTAATCTAGAACACAAAAACATATTTATTAACAACTGTGTCCAATATTTTTATTATTATTAATTTATTGATGTGTTAGCGCAATCACCTGAGCAGAACAACTATTACCTTCAACGAATCTTATTATACAAAAGGCAACACTTCTTTATAAATAACAGCTAGAACACAATATATAAAAACAAGTAGAGTTGACCTCTAAGCAAGCAAGTTATTTTTAAATGTATGACATAAGAAAGGTAGCAAAAAAAAATACACCCAAGCCTTTATTCACCAAACAATTTAGTATTGGTTTTTGCTCCACTTATAACTCGATGCTCTGTAGTAATTGTAGTGCCATAAGATAATTGATGGAAATCCTGATATTATAGCTGCCCTGCATTTGCTGTGGCAAAGTTGAGAGAATGACAGTGTGATGTGAAAGAGGCCTTTAAGAATTCAGTATACAAACATAAGATACAATTTAGAAAGCCAACACAGCTCCATATAAACTACTCATCTGCCACATTTTTTATTTTACTTTATTTTACTTACTGTAATAAGGAGAATTATCTCCTTTATGCAGTCTTTTTTAGTTTGATGAAATCTTTGCAAATTTTTTTTTATTTACTTACCTTCATTCTTTTCATCTACAGTTTGTCTACCTTACTGCTAACGACCTTTTTCATATGGGAAGTTAATATACACTAAGGCAAGATTGATGCAAAACCCTGAGGCCCGCCACAGTAATTTTTGCTTTGAAAACTCTTGTGTTCAATTCTATGCTTTATTGTAAATAGCTTGATCTGTAATGGCAGTTAGCTCTTATGCAAATAATTTCTGTCAAAGTCTCTTCCTCAGAATCTCATTCTAAGGCTTTTGAATACCAAAGTAAATAACTAACATAAGCCAGTTCTCTTCTGTCCACCAATTATCAAACTTCAGGAATTCTGATAGATAGACGTGCACTAAACTTTAAAAATTAAAAAATTTAAAAAAAGGGTTTCTCTCCTCTTTACAGCTGAGAAAGTCAAACATTCAGGAAGAACACCTCACTAATAAATATTCAAGTTCAAAAGTACCAAATATGGCAAAAAAATAGATAGTATTTGTAAGCTATGCACAAAACAAGGAATTAGAAGGTAGTGATCTTCGCTGAATAGCCTCCCCCTTCCTAAGAAGAAACAACAAAGAGAAAGGAACAAAAGGATAAAGCCAACTAAACCAAATGATTTAGGTACATAGAAAAGTCATTTTAAAAGCAGTGTTGAAAATTAGATTGTCTCATACTGGTGATCTAAGCAATTAAATCCAGCTCCTCCAAAATTTTCTCTGCTTGATCTCTTTATTTCATCAATCCACTCCTACTATGAAGTATTCCAGCAGTATTTTTCAAACAGTAAACCACCTTAATGGAATGGACAAGATTCTTGTGATACCTTACCCCAACCCCATCCCACAGATGGGGGTTAACATAGCAACAAATGTGTAAAACATAGATTAAGAACTCCCCCATGCTGTGGGGATTTAAATCCATTTCCAAGTTCAGCCTAAGAGATAGGTATTGTGAGCAGGTCAAGACTTCTGTTTTATAGTATTCAATATAGTGTTGTATTATACAAGATGAAATCACTGGTATTTTACAATACAAAATTAGTTTTCCTCAAAAGAAGAAAAAGGAGTGGATGAAAGAAACAGAGTCCATCCAGCCAGTTGAGATTACTTCCTATTCCCCTCTTTTTTACTGTCTGTGCACTTGATCATCCCTACAGACATCCATGTCAGCTGTCTCCAGCAAGGACATGCTACAGGCAGTACTACCCAGTGCAGTTCCATAAAAGAATAGGGCAATAAACAAAGATCTAGCCCAGCCAAGCACATTACACCAAAATTCATCAGCTCTCCAGGCCACACTAGGTACAGCATGCAACAGAAATACAGGAACTTACAGGCGATCAGCTGAAGCACATGGGAGCTACATGCAAAAGGAGAAGCTTGTTAAAAATAAGTTAGGAAACTGAAAGAGTAAAGTGTTCCTCTATTGGACATATTAGGGAATCAGGAGAAGTGATAAGACACCTAAATTCTGAAAGGACAAAAAAAATAAATCATTGAAATTGATTAAAGGTGGCAATTAAAATAAAGAGACTTTTAAGAAACAAAAGAAACTCAAGTGATCTCTCGAGGGAAACAGGGAAGATGGACAAGTTAAAACATAACCATAAGGTGGCAAGCCAAAGCAAGAAACAATAGCTTGTTAAAACCAAAAGCAAGATGCTTTCCCAACACATCAAAAGAAAGATGACTAAGAAAGATCAGGGCACTCAGCCTGCGGGGAGGGTTGAAGCTTGACTGGCTGCCAGCCCAGCACCAATGCCAGATTTAAATAACTGTTAAATAATGGTCCCCAAATACGTTGAAGGAGCCTAGCCAAAGAGGAATTCAAAAAAATCTCCAAAACAAACAGCCAACAAAAAAATCATAACCAAACTTAAGATACAAAATAAATTCCAAACAAAAGCCGGGGTCATTGCAGGTTCAGCTGAACCACGAGGGGAAGCACAACCTGCATCTTTTTATAGCTCTGTGCACCCCTTATAAAAGAGGTGGTAGTTGGACCAGACTTATATTGCTATCAATAAAGGAAAATCCCCACTACAATTAATACCTACATGTATGTTCAATGTCAACATATACATAAAATGGGATTCAGAAAGACAAAAGCAGATTCTCTTGTTCACCTGCTGCAATTTTCTTAAAAAAACAAAACAACTTAAAGAGGGTACATATACATCCAGACTTTCATAATAACAAAGATCAAGTGAGGAAGGAAAGAAACACTTTTGCTCAAAGTTCAATCATAGAATCAGCCAAGGCCAGATAGAGTTCAAGGGGCTCTTGAGTTCAGAAATAAAATCACAACCTGTACAGGGCTAACAGCTTAAAGCACCTTGATGTCAGCTCAGAACGTTAAGAAACTGCAGCTGAGGGAACATATAAAGTATAGAGTTCATTATATATCCTAAGACTTGTCAAGTTTTACATTTTTTAGAAAAAAGTCTGGCATATTAGAGTTCACTGTAAGGCCTCAGTACAACTGCAACTCAGAGGATTTTTCTAAAGAACAAGTTATCAAACTATTCTAAGTTATCCTCCAGGGCAATCTTTTTCTACTTCAGTTGGGGAAAAAATTCAAGTAGAGATGCAAATCACAAGTACAATCCCATATTTTTAATAAATTAAAAATAAAACAACTTTTCCCATATCTTCATTTGAAAGTATTTCCCTGCACTCTTTTCTTCACATTACTTCTGCTTTCACTCTCAGTTAATGTGAGCCTGGCCTTTTTAAAAGTCCAGCAGATTTATATCTGACATGAATGTCTGGCCTGACATAACTTGAGACTTTTTTCCTTTCTTGCCCTCCCCAAGATGCTGGCTATTTACCCATCATGATATCACACTACATGAAGTTTCAAAGTCAGCAAGTCGCTTGCAAATAATAAACTCAAATGAAACAAAACCCCAAAAGCTTTCCTGCAAACCCAATCTGTTAAACACAAGAGCTGTACTTGTTATATCCTGCTTTCTGACACCAAGCAGCTCCCTATGTATAATATTTGTGCAGTCAGAATATAAGATGAATTATTAACTTCCTCATTTTCTGCATACCAATCCACTATGCATGCAAAATGCCAAACGTGAAACAGAATGTGACTGCTGGAATATTATGTAAAGTGAGAGAAAACAGTACAGGTTATATTGTGACATTTGGAATCTACATTTCAACAAAAACATTCTCAAAATGTTTTACATTGTGCATAAGCAGAACTGTGAACTAATCAAGAGAATGTTCCAAAGGCTGCTCAAAACCCCTTTAAATCAACTATAATCTTTATCGGGTGATGAAATCATTAGGATTGTATCTAAATTGGTATTTTTCTACATTATGGGATGTTCAGCAAAAAGACATTCAAAACACAGTGGACAAATAACTCCAATTATTAGTAGCCATCTGTACATAAACTTCCTGAACCAGAGACCTTTTGTACCACTGTTTCGGAATCACTAATTAACCACATGTTTTTTACAGTATATCTCAGCTCCGATTAAGTAATTTTATCTGGTAATGAATTTTGCCCATTTTAAAGACTTATTCCATTTACTTTCAGCTGATCTGCTGTTGAGTGCTTTCCATCTCTTCTGCTATGAAAAGTAAGACTTCCTTTAGTATGCTTTTTCAGAACTGATGATTTTCCTGACCTCCAAAACAACCCTCCACTCTTTTTTTCCCCATCCTTTCCCAAGCTGAAGAGCTGCCAACTATTTAGTTTTGGAAGACCGGAGTAGATTGTCCCTTTTTTATCCTCAGATTACTACTTTGTGACATTCTCCAAGCAAAAGAAGGTCCAGTCATGAGTCTGAAGTTCACATAAGGAATCTATTATCTCATAATGGTTTAATTTTTAGACAAAAAAGAAGCTGCCAACAGCTGTATTTCTGCCTGGTGTTGTTTGAAAATGGGTCCTGTAATTGTTGGTCTTGTAGACTTGCACATCACAAATCTTCAAGGGGTAAAAAACAAAGGAGGCTCTCCTCGTGTTGTCAGCATTCAAAAACCAGTTAAAACCAGACTGTTGCAAAGTATTGCTTAACTTTAAAATATTTATTTCTTCCTTGAGAAAATAAATGTAGCAAGAAGCTGCACAGTTAGCCTTGTTCTGTGACTA